ACAAAAAGTGAGCTCCCACCGGTTGGCCCAAACCATCCAGGCCTCCCAGGAAACCCCCCACCTCGGCCAACGGAGCCATGGGGGAACGGCGGAGCCTCCGAGCATGGATGGGGAACCGAGCCGGGACCGGTGGCTGAGCCAGGCGGTGGGGTGGCGGCGGTCCGCCCCGCGCCTGTGTATATATATACGTGGGTCCCCCTGACATATGCTAATGCGGGGAGGGCTGCGTTTGAAATTGTAAACCGGCTGCTTCTCCAACACACACCCCCCCCTTCAACCTTCTTCCCCCCCTCCCCGCTCCTTCTCCCGCCCCGCACCTTCCTCTGATGTGAGCGGGCGGCGGGGAGGGAGCTGCCGCCGCCCCTCCCGCAGCCCGGGCAGGCACCCCGGGGAGGGGGGGACAAGGGGGGGGACGGGGAAAGGGGGGAGGACGTGGCCCCCCCTCCTCCTTGCGCGGAGAGGAGCGTAACGGGCAGCGGGAGGCGGCGGAGCCTTCCGCGGACAGGTGCAAGGAGAGGCGAGGAGGGGAAGAAGGAGAAAGGGCGTTACCTGAGGGTGAGACCTGCCCAGACACACATGAAAGGGGGAAAAAAAAAAAAAAAAGAAAAGAAAAAAAGAGAAAAACACAAAGATCTGACAGTTTTACTCCCTGTTTCTGAAGCGCTAATAAAACGTACACGCATTACCCTCGCCTTTTATCGCTCCAGCTACAAGGAGGGGAATTTCGACAGAAATTGGCATCGTCAGGGAGGTGTTTTCCCCTCTGCAAACTCTGCCTCGCGTCTAATTCATCACGGACGTGACATGAAACCGATCCATAGCGTTTGGATATCGATACAACAACTTAAAAAAAAAAAACATAAATGAGCGGACCCCTAGTTTGGGATAAATATTTTCAGAACCTGGAGAGATGAAGAAAGAAAGACTGAGCGATGGCTCATCTAATCTGTCTTCTTTGGGGATTTGCATTGGGACTGTCACCAAAGTCACAGAATCACAGAATCTTCTAGGTTGGAAGGGACCTCAAAGATCACCTTGTCCAACCGTCAACCTAATTTTGACAAAAATAAACACCCACACAACAAACAAAAAGCAACACCATCACTAAACCATACCTCCCAGCACTACATCAACCCGTCTTTTGAACACCTCCAGGGATGGGGCCTCAACCACCTCCCTGGGCAGCCCATTCCAATGCCTGATAACCCTTTCGGTGAAAAAAATTTTCCTATTATTCAGCTTGAACCTCCACAAATTACCCACAACATCATCTACTGGATGACCTCTGTTGTCTTTCTATGGTGTTTTGAATCGGTTTAGGACTTCATTCCAGATGAGCATATGCATTTTTTTTTTCATCCCCAAAGCAGAATAGGTCATGGGTGCAAATATATCGGTGGAACACACGTTCATTATCAGCAATGGTAAAACAACAGTATATTAAAACTCAGAGCTTGACTTTTGCCACCTTTGTTGCTTTTTTCCGTAACGTCTAATGAATTTTAGGGCTCAAACTACGTGACCCATCTTAGCGTTCAAAATACGCTACGCAGTTCCTCGCCGATGTTATACTAGAGTATAAAATGCAAAGATCTTTCATAGTTAATTCTTTCAAAAGTTTGAGAGAATCGCCCAGCGGTTTAAGGTTTCATTTAAACAAAAAAGTTGCAGAGAATCATGAAAGATTAGTTCTCCCGTCTTGCTCCCTGGTCTTTTCAGTCACAGTCTGAATCTGAGAGATCAAATGGATTTGACTGCTTAGCTTTATTTGCTACGGAGAGCACGGGGCTAATTAATTGGCAGGTGCTTTAAAGCAGGTAATGCTACACCTTTTCATCATTGCAGTCCTAAGTACTGCCCCTGTGTGCACCTGAAGTATAAAAAGGCTGCTTTAAAGCAAGTGATTTACTGTGGAGGGATTTAAAACTGAAAAAACTAACGCTAAATACAATGATCAGATAAATCACCTCAGAAGAGAGCACAGGCGGACCTGCTCTGAAGGCACTTACAGATAGATGTTATATTATTTTACCTTTCAGATAACAGGAGCCTGTCATGTGGTGGGACCCAAAAATCCACCATAATCGAGATTTCAAAGCACATCTGTGTAAACATTATCACATCAGTGTAAAACATCAACCAATGAGCTTTCTCTTTGAACCAAATCTACTTAATTGCAGTGCTAAATCAAAGAAACAGATCAAAGTTGAATAATCTATATGGCACCTATTTCTCAAGTAGCCTGTACACTGATTACTCATATATACCTAAAACGTTTGAAACGTGCACCAAGTATTTTTATTGACATGACTGGCAGGCCGAGATCAAACTGTAATTAGCTCGTCACAGCTGCTAATTTGCAGGACATGCACTAGGATGGTACAACTAAAGGGAGGAGGTATATTCTTCTAAGCCAAAAGATGCTCCAGGATGGATAACGCGTCCGGGTCCAAGCAGTGCTCCCCAAGTCCTACGAACAGCAGAAGGCTCTTCTGTTGAGATGGCACCACTGTCCCCAGTAGAGAAGGGTGGGGTTTTTTTTAAAAATAAAAAATAAAAAAATCAGCCACCACACACGGGAAGACCCTTACAGCTAAATCTTTCCTGCTATATAATGGAAACATTTAAAGTAGAGTGGAATATACAACGATGATCTTTTCCGAGTGGAGTCTTTAATGTCTGGGCACTAAACCGGTTATGCTGTTTTTATAAAGTACCCCAAAAGAAACAAAAAGATAAGAATTTTTTTGGTGTTTGCCGTAGTCATGTGACAGGAAAAGATAACACTAAAGATTTTTTTTTCTTTTGCACCTTCTGAGACTATACCATGGGAAGTTAAATAATTTTGAAGAGTGTTTTTACAAGAGTATATAATTCAACTTAAAGTATACAGTACAATCTAATCAACTCTCTGTATACTTCCTAGAGACCACACTTTCAGGGGCGTTGAACAAACACATATGTGGCCGAGTTTTCATTTCCATAGCAAGCAGTTAGGGCTTCTATAGACAATATAATTACTGTATATTTCCTAAGAATAGTATATTGTCATAGGCATGACCTGGTGGCTACCAAGGGAGTGGAGAAAGCAATGGACTGAAATTTTTGTCTATGTATATATGTGTGTGTGTGTTTATATATATATAGAGAGAGAGATAGATCTATATATTTGTCAGGTTGGTTAAAAGAAAGCGGTTACTTGTAAAACTTTATGTCCTGCATTTTGTTGCACCTTTATTAATTTTAGAACTCCCTGACAACAGTCCTTTGCCATCCATAAAACTTGAATGATATAATAAAATATTGGCTGGGCAAATGAAGGGGGAACTCATGAATACATGAGGAAGCAGACACGGGGTAGAACAAAAACCACTGAGTAGAACATAAAGCTCGAGATACCTGTTTATCATGGTCAGTTCCAGATCCTTCCTAGATTTGGACAAGAAAACATGGTTGGCTGCTTTCAGCAAGATGAGCAGAACGTGCTGAAGTGACAGTGAGAACCTTTCAGAGCACTGCAAGTCTGAGTGAAATAAGGTGTGTTCTCGTGCAGGATTTCCTAGGAAGAAAAGAACAGAATCATTTTCAAGGCTCTGTGTACAAACCAGATCATAATCTGATGATCTAAAGCCTTTTCAATGCAATGCATACAGACTTTAAAAGCATTCTGAACTGATACAGTTGCAGGTATGTATGCAAGTATACATACATGTATATATAAATATATTGATCTATTTACAAAAGCTCAGATGAAGAAAAAGGAATGCTGAAAAAATATATTTTCCTATGGAAAGGAAGTTCTACATTTCTTCGCATTTTCTTTAAATGAAGACAGAAATTCATAGGACTTTTTAAGATTCATGATTTAATTATCCCTGTTCTTTGTGGATACACTTGAATAACTCCAGTATAAGCTCCCTAGGTTGTCAGCACACGTTTACATCCAGGTACATCCAGTGAAAATGGATTTTTTCCACATATATCAACATTCAAATGCCTCATTTGGCTGCTTTTGTATTAGTTCCCTAGGTTAACACTAGGGATAAAAACACTTTGGTTTATTTAAATTACATGGTTTCTGAATCTGTGCACGTAAGATGCGCAGGCAGCTCTCAGTTTGTGACTTGCTGCAGAAATAAATTGCACTCTTATTCCTAAGCAAAGATGTGACCAGGGAAGTTCTGACAACCTATCCAGGTGTAAGCACTTGCAGATGCGTATTGAATTTTTTGAAGTGGAAAAAAAAAAGATTAGCCTAAAGGTGTTATTGAAAAGGCATTAAAATGTGGCTAACCGATTTCAGGGAAACACTGTGAGCAGGGAGATAACTCATGGCTCATGTCTACAGTTTCGGTGACTGACGAGTCGCCCAGCAAACAGGTTTACTTTGGGACACCACCTTGACCAAAAGTGGTTTCTTTTCCAATCAAATGGAAAAATTAAACTTTTTTTTAAAAGGTCATATTGGTGAATGATGTCTCCTAATGAGGCGGATAAGACTGAAAAGATCCAAGAGCCACGTTCTACAAAATTTTCCAGACTGGACACTTAGTCATGTAACTACAGGAGAAATACCTGAGTTTCAGTCATGCTACACATCTGAAACTACTATTGTCCTGACACCTTAATATTGGCCTTTATATTGGCAGGGGGGTTAGAACAAAATGATCTTCAAGGTCCCTTCCAACTCCAATTGTTCTATGCTTCTATGATAATATCGTAACTACTAAAATGTTTCTTCGAAATAGAAAATGCATGAGTGTCTTAAACCCATTAAAATGAGTTACAATTTGTGTATTGGGAAAAATGAAAAAGTAAAACTGGCTGAAGCTTGGGAAGAACATATTTATATAAAGAAGGAAAAGATGCTGCAGCTGGCCATTGCAAAAAATGCCATAAGGTGTGCTGGGACTGGAAATGTCTGTGTGCAGCTTCTGAAGCTTCAAGGTAGAGGTGAGGTTGCACCATGGAGAATGCTGTAACATCCAATGGCCAACAAGGCCTGTGGCCCATCAGCAGCAGGTGGGGACAAAAGAACATGCTCATCTTTAACAACTGGCCTTTAACTAGTGCTTAGTGATGCCAAGGAGGCTGCTTGTGGCCAAGGATATTTATCAGAGGAGAAGCTGAGGACATGGACAGTGCGTGTGTGTTTCCTAATGAGAAACCCTTGTAACAGAAGGGTATAAAAGGATAGGAAATACTGGGGTCACTTCGCAATGAAAGGAACAGCAAATACGCTTGCAACGGGGGCAAGGAGAATCCCTCTTTTCTGAGAACCTGAGGTGGAAGGAGAGGTACCGGAGGGAGCGGTCTGGCAGAGCTGGGGAAGGCAGAATTTTCCAGCTGGTTGGTGTTTGGGGAATTCAGTAATTTAATTGGGTCCCAATGGAACAACGCAGCAAGCAATCAAACAGAAGAAACGTTACCTACATCAGCCTAAGGACGGTGAAGGACAGCATTATGCTCTGTCAGTCAGCTGTTCAGCTCCGTTTCACACTGTATTTCTAACAACTGTTCTGGTGGGACTAAGAGCCCAAGTGCCTAAATTTGTGGGACTAAGTTCTCCGAAGTGCTGAACTTTACAGCACAGCTCAAAATATTATGGAATAGTCCAACAGACCGTTTGTCAGCCTTCGATAAACACGTCAGCATGGCAGGCTCTGCTGTTGGATGTGGGTTTATCCGAAACAACCCTCACACTTTTACCTTCGGCCGTGTATCGGGGACGCACCAAGGGCTCCCAAGGCTTTGGGAACGGGCTGGGACATCACCAGGTTCCACGGGAGCGACGGAGCTTCGTCCCCCTGTGGATAAGGAGGATCCCGGGATGCTTTTAGGCCAGCCTTGGCGGGGAAACGGTGACCGGTCTTGAGGTTCACCTCCAGCCGTGAGGGTTTGGAGGCGAGCCAGCGTTGGGTGGAAGCCTTTCCTTCCTCCTGCCCCCGGGCCAGGGCCGCCCCCCGGCCACCCCGGGCAGGGAGGGAGGCGGAGGCGGTGGGGTGGGCCCAACCGGGCCGGGCCGGGGCGGCGGTGCCTCAGCCCGGCGGGGCGGGGACTGTCGGGGGCCTCCGTCTTCCCCACCCCTTCCCCGCTTCTCGCGAGGCTTCTGCCGGC